AGTATGTTACTGTAATGTCTTATAAAGTAATGCTCCTTCAAGTTGTTAATTTCTCATTTACTCAAATTTATCATCAGTTTCAAGTCATTCCTTTGCACTAATTTTGCTTGGCATGCAACTATATTTTAATACTGATCATTTATATTTGGTACATAAAGATAAATATCTCATATATTTCACTTATTGGTAGCTTGGAAAAATGTGTTATTCTATGATGCTGTTTATAACCATTGCCCTTCAGTCTTAAGATGATACTTAAAGTTTAAAGTAATGATACCTAATCATTACTGTTACAGTGTATCATTATTTCTTATCATACATCATATATTATCCCAGTGTGTTAATGTTATTCAGAATTGTATTAGTTCATTTTAAAAAGTGTCTCTGAATGTAAATTGATGTTTGCTTAATTTCTTATGAGGTTTAAGAAATCAACTGAATTTTCTCTTAAATACAAATGTAAGATTATAAGAAAAAAGCTTTTATGAAATAAGATGTGTATGTTCAAAATTTCTTTGAGATATTACGAGTTAACTGTAAATTCTAGTCGATTCTAAGATCGTCTACATGACCAGTTCAGGAAATCAACTGAATTTTCTCTTAAATATGTAAGATTACAAGGAAAGTACTTTTATGAAATAAGATGTGTATGTTCAAAATTCCTTAGTTCATGACACAAGAGTCCTCAAATAGGAATCTGCATATTGTATGTTTGCATTTGTTATGTATACTAATTTAAATAACATTCCATATTTGTGTTGGTGCATGTATTGTATTATTGAAAGTATGTAATCAAAAAGGTGGTTGATAAATAAATACATTCATAATTACAGCTATAGTTGAAAGGTTTAAAGATTTTACCCAAACTCTTTGCCCATGCTCTAAAACAATATTTGTACGCCAAAGACCTTGATATTTGATAATGCCTGATCTATTTGGCAAGCAGGAAATCGGCCGCATTTCAAAATGGTATCATTTAGGAGTGGAATGGTCTTGGCAAATTGAGAAACACTAGTAACTACCTAATGGAAAATTGGAATAAAAAGTGGACGAAAAAGGAAAGAAATGGGCAAGCACCTTGATAGTATTTTGCCTGGGTTTTTGTGAGTTTTCATGTAAATAAAGGGGTCAAAATCTGGATGTTGGTGCTTTCAATGATGTCAACTTGTTTAGCCATCTAAATTCCATGGTTTAAAAAAGTTTGATTACTCTAAGTTATAACACACGCATACACGCACACACACACTAAAAAAAAAAAAAACAGTCAAAAAGATGTGAAATGTGCACTTTTGTGTCAAATTTAAGGCCCTTTAAGTCCTACACCTGACCTTCCAACCCCCACCCCATCCTTTTCTCCCATTTTTTTTTTTTTTTTTTGGGGGGGGGGGGGGCATACAATATGCAGAATTCTGAAAATTTTAAAAGAGGAAATTTTTAAGATGATGTGGTTAACTATAAATAAACTATTATGTGAATGACTTCTATTCAACAACATCAACAATATGTTTCCATGTGAAGTATTTTGTTTACGGCTGATGCCTGATAGGGCATCTGTTGTCTGGCAGAAACCACCAGCTAATTTCCCATTGACAGCCATACTAAGAAATGCCTGCAATACTGCATGAACAAAATAATTGGGTGAAACATTTCCTATCCCCATGGACAGCAGAGACATTGACATAACTCTCAATGGCACAAAAATATTCTGTCATTAAGCAAACTTTCTTAGGGGCATTACTTGAACATGTGCACCCCTCTGTTTGTAAACAAACCACTGCACCGCTCACAGTCAGTAGCTCTCTGCCAGAGGTCTCATGACTGCATAACACCTGTTCCTGGTCCTGAAAAAAAAACTGGCTGTACATGTAGTTTACACCCTAACCTGCTAGTTGAGGGGCCGTAGCGATAGTTCGAAGGTTCAATAGTCCGAAGGTTCATTGGTCCGAATATTCACTATAGAACCTTCGGACCAATGAACCCTTGATTAAAAAATTGATGAAAATGTTACCACTTTTCGGACCAATGAACCTTCGGACCAATGAACCTTCGGACTATCGAGAAGCTCCCCTAGTTGACACCAAAATTAACACTAGCAACACACAAAAAAAGTCAGGAAAAAAATGTGAAAAAGCACTAATTTTCTTTCAATGAACTAAATTTGTCTATAACAGTCAGTGATTGGTCCCTTCACAGAACCCCCCGCCCCCCTTATTACCTTCTGACATCAAAAATTAAAACCTTGATACACTGCCAACTGCTCCGCACAATATGACTGGGAACGGTCTCTTGGTGACTGAGTACGGTCAAGTTGAAAATGTAGTTGCTGTATGTATGGGCCACTAAGCCAATATTGCACCTGGTGAGAAAGACACAATTTCATGAGTGATAAAAAGTTAAATGCAAATTTCTGTGCCTGAATTTGCTTCAATTTGTGTTGAAATTTGGACACATGATGCTGGACGTGTGAAAATCTGAGATAAACATCTTGACTGGAATTGTGACTAGTTTTTAAGTGCACTTTGCTGAAGAATAAAGTGAGAAAAGTGGAAAATTACTGATAAAAAGATTTAAAAACATTTAAAAATTACTTAAACTCAAGTGCAAGGCTAATTGTCACAACTTTTGTTTGTTTGTGTGAGGACAGTGGTCACTTGCTTACCACATGTACGGTAAAGGTAGCTGGAAAAAACGAAGAAAAAGTGTATTTGTGAAGGGACACATGCTAGCCTTTAGAAGACAGGAGTCTGACAGGCCTCCAGAATCCGTTGTGAGAAGATACATCAGACCCAGCCAAGAGTTGTACCAGGGAGCCTCATCTCCACTCCCTGTCGGGCCACCAACAACCCTTAGCAGCAATCCTGATGCACCCGTCACGCTTAGACCTAGGAGGACCCAGCCAGAGAGTTAATTTGTCCAGTAGCCAGTCACACTAATGAATACAAGTTGGTTTCAGCAGAAAAAAATGTCAATCTGGTCAACAAAGTCTTGTCAGAGCATACAGCCGAGTGCACTGGCTCGATCAGTGGTTTGGGAAAAGTGGCAGAGAGCATGTGGGGACTAAAATGTGACACATGTCAGTACAGGACAGGGAAGCAGAAACTATACAATGAAGTCCAAAGCAAGTAGCGTGGTCGGAGAGCAGTAACAATGAATGCAAGCTTCAGTCGGTGGTTGGTCCATTTAGTGGTTTCTGCCCTGAACGGGCACGGCTCTTAGAATAAGTCGGAGCTTCTCTTTCTGTTCACGCGAGAAATTACGTGAGTTAACAGTAAAGTCTAGTCGATTCTAAGGCCGCCTGCGTGAACTGCATGAACTAGGTAAATATACTGTAATAACGGATTAAAGTTTCTAAATGTTTCCAGATTCAGTCTTTAAAGGACAGAAAAGAACTAACTTCAATTTATGCCAATTAGGCTCTATAAACCAAATAACAATGGTCAGTGACCTTCCAACTCGGACAGTCTCTCATGCACTCAGCTTGTTTGTTTTTCAACTTTGACAACTGATCAAGTCGATATTTGTGACATATTTAACCTCGGAGAACGCTCTCCCATTGTTATCACTTTAAGTCAACCTCAAACGCATTCTTCGTTATCACAGGTTAGTTTTTTATTATACCATCGATGAGGTGGAATAAAAACCTACAATTAATTGTAGTCATAACACACATAATTATTATGTTGTCTATATTTTTTATGTTTTTAGTAAACACAGGTGACATTCCGTTAGTTTTTTTTAGGTTCAGGGATCATTTTGTTCTGATTCTTATTGTCTGCTGTAAAGTTTCATATAACTACTGGATCAGCCCACCAGGATTAGTGTTTTGATCACTTTTGATGACAGCTGTATGAAAGTTATAGAAGTCAATAAATTGCTTTCAAAAGCAGAAAGGGATCTTACTGGAACATGTTATAGGATTATGTGCTCTGCATTTGTGTTGGGATCATTATGAAAAATTGAATTGACTGAAAGGTAAACAATATACCTAATATATTATAATTATGTATTGTCAGAATGTAGCAATGAATATATAGTTATGTGATTTTTAAAGTAGGTTTATTTATATTTATATTGATAATAACTCTGCAGTTCTTAGTCCATCTACTTTAACTTATGAATTTATATTTCAGGAATTGTGTCACAGTAAAAACAAACAGTGTAACCTAAAACCAAATATGGAGATGTAAGCAACAAGAAACCAGTCACCTCAAGATCTTTATTGATCATGACTGCTGTGTTTTGCTGGGGTGGAGCCTCCCAAGGTCAGCTTGGACTAGGGGGCTCTGAAGAACAAAAAGTAGTACAACCTCAGCAACTGGAGGTTTTTCAAGGCAGAGAAATCCAACAGATCAGCTGTGGTCTGGAGCACACACTGATTGCATTGAAAGATGGTAGCTTATACAGCTTTGGAAGTAATACTTATGGGCAGTTAGGGAAGGAGAAAAGCAGTGGTAAACCAGGTATTGTCTTTTCTGATATTGTTTTTAAGTTCATTTTCACCTTGTTTATCTACTATACAGATTGGTTGAATATTAGGATGCAATTATGTAGTTTGTAACTGTAGCTTGGCATCAGTGCCATGTTGCTGTAAAATTTTCTGAAAACATATTTTTATTCCTGCACTTTTGAGACAAATGTTGGGAATCGTGTTGTCCTGCCCATCCATGGGTCTATTGGTCCATGTGTCTTTGCGTTAGTAATTTCTGCTCTCTCCTCCTAGACCACCAGAGTTTGGAAGCTGGAACTTTGGGGATTGATAGATCTAACATCAGGGATGTCCTTGGGCATTTCACAATTTTGGTGCATCTTGGGGTTGAGCTGTCACTGGGGGGTCGGTTGGTTCTAAATTCTTTTCACTTTGTATTTTCTGTGTACTCCTAGATCAATACAGTTGGGATGTTGAAAATTTGGTGATTGGTAGACCTGTCATCAGGGATGTGCATAGGCACTTTTTAATTTTAGTGTGCCTTGGGGTTGGGCTGTTCCTGGTGGGGAGGGGGGGATTGATTCTAAATTCTTTTTACTTTGCTAGGTTTACTTTGATGTCATGGACAACTCTGTGTCTATTACTCTGTTTCAGAACTAGTTGGTGCATTTGAGACGGGAATGGTGCGTTTGATAGCATGTGGAGCATATCACAACATAGCAGTCACTGACAGCAAGCAAGTGTACAGCTGGGGACAGAATTCTCATGGACAGTTGGGCAGAGGAGAAGCAGATAAAAACTTTAACAGAGTGCCAAGGTTGTTGAAAGGATTCAGTGCCAGTAGCTGCGTTATACAGGTTGCCTGTGGAGATAAGCATACTGTTATATTGACAAGAGGTGAGGCAAATTGTTATAGACAAGTTGGCAAGGTAACCGTATAAGTCTGTGCTTTTTGGCTATTTAGCATAGTTACAGTGCATTATGATGTAAGTGAATTTATGATATGAAAGCAACATCTTGTATCATCTGTGATGTGCTTAAAGCTAATATGATGATTTATTGCTACTTTCATAGAATTTACAAGTCATGCCTTGAATCTTAAGTATCACATCACAATTTCTGTTTACACATCACTGGATATTTATATGTAAACCATTATAATTGAAATATATCAGTATTAACCTGATGGTAAATAAATTATTTTAGATTTTCTTCTCAATTTCTTTATTTTCAGATGGCAGTATATTTGTGTGCGGTGACCATAGTCATGGTCAGCTTGGTATGGGCAATCTTCCTCAGGGCAGACTGGACTGTCCAGTGAGGCTAAAATGCATGCTAGGTTTACCTATTGGTCAAATAGCCGCTGGTGGTCACCATAGTTTTGCATTGACCTTGTCAGGGACCCTGTTTGGCTGGGGAAAAAATAAGTAAGACCTCAGCCTGTTAAGTTGGATATAAAATAGTGATACATTTTTTGTTTAAAATAAGAGTAGTGCTTGGTATGGTCTAATAGAATTTTATCAACCAATGTGGTCTGTTATTTTGCGATGTCATATTGAATTTATGTGATTTTTTTGTAATAATTGAAAATCCATATTAACTTATTTGAAATAAAGCATAATAATAGATGCAAAGAAGAATGTAATAAACACATTTTAATGTCTTTTAAGTTTCCATATATTTTTGATGTGTTTCATGTGGACTTCCTCATTAGTTTTCATGACATTTACTTATATCTTTTTCATTTTAGTTATGGTCAGCTAGGCCTTGGTGATGAAAAAGGTACTTGAGATTTTTTAAAAACTTATTTAAGGGTTTGATTATTTTTTTATGAATACACAATATTGTTAGCACTTATACAATGTGTTTCAGAGCACTATCAGTCTTGTTTTAACAGTTGATTAGTCATTATTTACCATATTTTACCCAGTATTTGTTTTATTTTAGATCGACTTTTTCCAACACTGGCAAAATCAGTCAGAAATCAGAAAATCAAGTATGTATGTTGTGGAGAGGATCATTCAGTGTTGCTGACACAGGTACATTTTAAACATTGTTGACATCTGCTTCCCTCTTCATATCAATGACAAAATTTTGAAAGTGTGACTCTTGGGTTTAAAAATTCAGCTATTTGTTTGAGTTGATATTACTCCGGTTAGAGCTGTTATATTTAATAACAAGACTAGTTTCCTATATAATGGCATTTTGCCTGATGAAAATTGCAATGAGACAAAGGTATTTAATGAATACATTTATTTTCTTATAGGAGGGTGGAGTGTTTACTTTTGGTGCTGGGTCCCATGGCCAACTGGGACACAACAGTTTAAACAATGAACTGCTGCCTAGGAAAGTGTTTGAACTGATGGGGAGCGAGGTCACTCAGATAGCAAGTGGGAGGTAACATTCAGGAGATATTTTCTTTTGAGAAAATGACAAATATTGTTTTGCATGTTATCACTTTTCCTCCTTAATTATGAAGTAGCTAATGTATATTAGTATAATATCATGTATATTAGATCATTTTCATGAGAAGCATTACTGATCACACAAAACTTTGCAGATATGTTAAATTGTTCAGTCACTAGACTACATAGTCATGT